CTTGCTCTGCTGCTGCTGCTGTTACCTCAGGCCTAACTCCAGGGAGCCACACCAGGGACTGGGTGCCCCCACATGCCCGACTGGCCCAGCAGGCTGCCACCCCCTCCTGCCTGCTCTGCTTTGGGAAAGTCTGCGGCGAGGCCTCCGCCCAGCTCCAGAGAGGGGCTGTGACTCTGCATTTGAGAGCGGACTGAGCTCTGAGAGCTCTCCCCTAGCAGCGCAATTAGTGTCCACCCACCTCACACCCAGCTCTCCGAATCCCAGGTTCCAGGCGCTGGACTAAGTGCACGGGGAGCGGGCCTCGCTGCCTGTGGCTCTCCCGCCCCCACACACCGCCATCCTGTGGCCAGCACTTCCCCTGAACAAACCCCAGCACCTCCCCTGGCCATTAATAACCTCCTCTGCATGAATGAATGGTGAACACGGGCTGGCCGTTCAGTCAGCCGAGGAAATTCTTTGCGTTGCTGAGGCTTTTTGTCTGGACCCCATTATTGTCATGCAAACCCTCCCGGCTTGGGGCAGGTCCCGCTGCCTTTTACGTGAGTCTCCATAGCACACCCATCACGGAGCACACTAGCTGCACGCGAGTCCTCCCATCCATCCCGAGTGCACAGCCCTGGAAAGCCAGGGAGAGGATGGGTGCCTGGCCAGGAGTCCCACCGGGGCGGGAAGGAACGCCCACCACTGCCAAACGTTGGAACAATGGGGCTTAAGAAAAAGGTGGGTGTCCGCTGCAATGAGGTTCAGAGAAACGGGCAGCGTTCGGGAGAAGCAGACATGTCAGCAGGTCCTGTGAAGGTGAGTGGGAGCGGAGGAAGCTGGCTGCGTGCTCAGGGAGCACCGCCCGGTGCCACACCTGCCCTGGGTGTTCTCACTCCTGCTCCTCGCTCAGCCCTCGGAGTCCAGGCCCGTGACGATCAGAAGGGGAAGCAGAGGTGGAGGAGCCAGTACCTTACGCAGGCGTACGTGGCTAGAGAATGAAGGTGGAGTCACACAGGAGGCCACCCAGTCCTTGCCTGACCACCGCTGGTGGGCCGCCTGATGATGAAAGGGTGATTGAAGGAGGAAGCCCCCACAAATGCCTGGCTTTCTGTTGCCCCGCTCTGTCCCAGTAGGCGGATTCCTGGCCTGACGTAGCAGCTGCCCACTTCCTGATGGGGCAGCCTGATGCCCACTGGAGCCTGTGCAGCAGAGCATGGAGGCTAGTCTGCCACCCCCCACCCCCGCCATGGGGGCACACTCTGCTTGACCAGCCACCCCAGAAGGGACATGGCCTCCTGTTCATCAAGAGTGCCAACCCCACCCCCTGCCCTTCTCTGTTGCCCCAGCAGCCTGCTGACCTATGCAGACACCTCCGTTGGCACACAGGGGGCCACACCCGGCACGGAGACTGCGCACTGCATCACAGACAGAGCACAGCCCCGCACACAGTCCAGTGCTGAGCCACGTCTCTGCCTTTGCCCGCCGGCGTGAGGCGGAGCCGCGGAGTGGAGCTGTGGCATGTGCTGGGCATTTCTAAGCTGGGCGGATTGTCCAAGTACAGGGCAATTCCCAGGCCCATCTTGGTTTCCCCAGCTCTCCAGATGCTGCCAAACCTCAGGCCCCTGCTCTCAACAGGTATCTTCAAGAAATCAAAATCAGTCTCTCTAATTTGTAAGAAACCATGATCCGGAGTTCCTCACTGCTGACTGCCCAGTCTGTGCGAGAGCTCAGCAAAGTGGCTGCTGCCTTCACCTTTTCTGGGCCACTTTCCCCCGAGACCTAAACACTAGAAGGCAGAGCCCAGTCCCTGGCACGCTCTGGGCCGAGGTCAGGAGCTGAGCTGACAGGGCCCAGCCTGCCCGCCCACCCCCACCCCCCCTCGCGGGGGAGGCAGGGCTTGGCATCACCATGCAGCAGCTCCAGAGGCCGGGGGCCCCAGGCAACAGCAGCACCGAGCCGCCTGCCTGCTCAGGAGCTGACAGCCAGTATTCCAAAGGCACCCCTCTTTCCAGAGTCCATTCAAGGCCACATAATTTCTAGGCAAGTGAATTTGAGTTCCCATAAAACGCTACAGGACCCAGCGGCCTCACGGTCACTGCTCACAGCACCTCTGAGCACTGCACCTGGGTGACGCCCAGCTGCCCGCAGACACTCCCGGAGGCTCTCAGCACGTCCTGGGCAGGGACCTCACATCTGTCACACAGTGCCCAGAGCCTAAACGCCAGATCCCCGCCAGATCCCCGCAACTTGTAACCACACAGAATGCTCCCCAGGCCAAGTCCTCGAACCTGGGCTGAGACAGGCCTGGAGGCCTTCCCAGGACACTTGCTATCTTCAGTCCAAGACTAGGTGGCCCACTAGGACCACTCAGCCCGAGGAAGGAGACGGCACTGGTTTGATTCTGGGAGCTGAAAATCACTTTGATGTCTTTCTTCTATCATTTGCAAGCTGCTGGGGCAGCAGATTGGAATCTCGGCTGGGAGGGCTGTGGTGCTCAGCTCACACTGGCCCTGGTCCCTGGAGGGAGCCTCAGAGCTGTGGGCTCGGAGCTTCCTCACTTGCTGGGGAGAAGCGGGGTGGGGTCCCATGCCCCTTCGGCAGCGCCCAGCAGGGGCAGGAATGAATGGCCGGTGTGGGGGAATGTCCTGTGGAGTAGCCCAGACCACAGAGGGGGACTGGCTGAATAAGTGGCCTGTGAGCAGTAGCGTTGCTCCCTGAGCCTCAGCTTCCGTTTGTAAAAGAGCGATGGGCTTGGAGCCCAGAAGGGTGCCTCCTCCCACCATCTGCAGGGAGGTCCTCCGGCTGCGAGGGCCGCCCCCTCGATGCCCAGCAACCCCTGGGATGCTCAGGCCCAGAGACAGAAAGCCTGGTTCAGCCACCTGAGGGGACAGTTAAGGGGAGGGAGGCTGGTTACAGCCCAGAGACCCCTGGCACTGAGCCAGGCCCTAGAAACTTGGGGTTGGTGGTCCTTTGGGCCCCATTTGGGCTACGAACTTAATTTCTGTAGTTTAGGGGAAGGTCAGAAAGCCATCCTGGCCCCAGCCCCTCTTACCCATGCTCCCCAAAACCACTGAGCAGTAACCGCAGGGATGCTTCGAACCTGACTGGCAGGTACACACTTCTCCCCAAGGCCGAGGTGGAGGCTGGGTCCCCAGGCGCATCTCCAGGGCCTGCCGGCAGCCGGGCCTGACGCGGGCCGTGCTGAGCAGCAGCCCCGAGGCAGCCCCGGGACTCCCCGCTCCGAGCAGCCCTTCCGGAGGCCACCCGGGGTCGGCCTTGCCGAATGCAGCACCAACCAGCAGCAGCCATGCTCCCAGAGCCACCTGTGACCCCGCGCCCTCGCTGATGGTCCTCACAGCACCCCCTACGAAGGCAGAACTGAACACAAGACCACACGGCCGGACAAGCACAGAAGCCGTTTGCAGTAAATGCTCACTTTCCTCCCTCCCAACAGGGCTTAGCCGCCAAAGGCCAGGCCGCTGCTCAGGGAGCCACCTGGAGTGGCCTCGTGCTGAGAGGGTCAGGACAGGCCAGGCAGGGACATCGCTGGGGGCAGGCCCAGGAGGAGCTGAGGTGGAGCTACCTATGTGGGAGGACATGCGGGAGAAGGAAGCAGAAAGCGGAGAGGGGTGTGGGCGGGAGAAACCCCCTCAGAACGGCGGCCGCAGGCCGGTCCGACCCAGGGTGTGCACGTTGGGCCCCAAAGACTTGGAGGCAACATGTGAAAGATAGAAATGCTCTAGTAAAACTCCAGACTTCCGGCTGACACCCACGTCCCCCTGGTAACCTCCCTCGGGCCTGACTCCGCCTCTGTGGCGCCCTGTCAGCCCAGTGTCCTGTGGATGTGTCCCAGGGACGCACTTGGGGGGCTCTATGCGGCCCCCCAGTACCAGTCACAGTCGCTGTAGGAAGCGCTAGGGGGTGCGAGGCCCGAGCTGGTGGCCCTGAGCCTCAGCCCCTTGTGCCCAGCTCCCTGACCGCCCAGAAGTGGCTCCAGGCTTTGAGGCTCCACCTCCCACAGTGGAAAGTCCAAACCCAGGAGCGTGGCATTCGGGCCTTCGAGCTCAGGCCCCTGGCAGGCACTTCCCATCCTTGGACACTCTCCCATGGGCACCCACCATACCAGTCATTCTCCAGAAAAGCCTGGTTTTCCGCCCCAACACACCTCCCTCCCGCCGGCATCTTTGCACGTGCTGCTCCCTATCCCAGAATGCCTTCCTCTCCCTTCAGGACACTCCAGGGAGGCTCCATCACGCCCTCCTACCTCCCCCAGAGTCTAACAAAGAACCAGCTGGGGACACCTGGCCGGGGGGGGGGGGGGAGGCTGTCCCACCCCGATTATCAGGAAGCAACCCCACCTCCCAGACCCCTGTGACAGGCGAGGCCTCGGGGGAACACTAACATGGACCCCCACCCTCTCTGGGCCCAGCCCTGCTCCTGGCGCACAGCAGCCTGACCCACTGCAGGAGGAGGAGGCTTGGGGCCCGCTCATCCAGCAGGGGGTGCCCAGAAATCCCCGAGGGACAGCCCACAAGGGTTCCTCTCTCTGGACCTGACAGAACATCCCGAGTGGCTTCCATCCTCAGACAACAGCAGCCACAGATAAGACAGCAAATCTGACAGTGAGAGCCTCAGCCAGCTGGAGTTCCTGGGGCAGCAGGTGGCAGGCTCCACGGACGGA